TTAAACTTCTTGGGTTTCAACTTACCTTACCCCCCGCCCTGTCACCAGCCACCACGGAGAAGAGCCTGGCCCCATCCTCCCTACAATCACCCCTCAGATACTTGAACATGTTGATCAAATCTCCTCTCAGCCTTCTCTTCTCCAGATTAAACAGGCCCAGCTGGCTTAGTCTGTCCTCATACGATAGATGCTCCAGCCCCTTAATCATCTTCGTGGCCCTATGCTGGACCATCTCGAGAAGCTCCATGTCCCTCTTGTCCTGGGGAGCCCAGCACTGCACCCAATACTCCAGGTGCGGCCTCACCAGAGCTGAGTAGAGGGGCAGGATCCCCTCCCTCCGCCTGCTGGCAACGCTCCTCCTGGTGCAGGCCAGGATCCCACTGGCCTTGGCCACGAGGGCACATCGCTGCCTCATGGTTAACCTGTTGTCAACCAGGACTCCCAAATCCCTCTCTGCAGAGCTGCTTTCCAGCAGCTCCAAAAATAATAATAAAATAATAAAGTCCTAAAAGAAACTCTGCACCGCGTTGCATTAGCCAGCACCCTAGCCATGGCTCTGTGCTGATTTCGAGGGTTTTCTCTTTCCCAAGGGAATGCCAGAGCGAGGTTTTCCACTTGGATTCCGCCCCAGCAGGTGCAGGGATGCTCCACATGTGAGGGCGCCCGCACAGCACGGGAGCTGCACGCACTCCTGCAAGGTTAGCTGATTTTTTATTTTCTGTTTGTCCCCCAACATGACCTGCAGAAGAGACAAGCTCTGCTTATCCAGTGAGGCTGGAAAAGGACCTTGGAACTTGCTCCTAAAATTGGGCTGTGTTTTTACTGCGACCACTGACAAGGACTTCAGAGCAGGATGGAGCCACTCACCTGCCCCGCTCCCTATGGACAGGCTCCGGCTGGAGCTGCCCCCGATCTCTTTTGGGAGCCAAATTCCCAGTTATTCCCAGAGAAAAGGCCATCAGGAGGGTGCTGATCACCCTCCCATCGTGTTTTCCTCTGGGGGGCTTACAGGCAAGGCTCCAGAGATCCAGGCAGCCAGGGACTGACTTCCAGGGCTAAACACAAATAAATAAAACAAAGGGCTAAATACACACCTGGAAGGGACAGTCTCGCCCGCCGGAGCGGGAGGCATTTAAGAAGCCAGCCGTGCAGACCTGGAAGAGATGCAAACCTTTGCAAAGGGTTTGCTTTACCTGTCCATGCAGAGCTGCTGCAAAGCAGCCACTTCTGCTCTCACGGTTTCTCCCACAGCTTGGGATTTTTCTTTTTGGAGCAAAGAGATTTGACTGCTTAGGGTAACTTAACCTGAAACGAACCTCGCAGTGAAAGTCTCACGCTGCTCCCTAGAAAACAGCTGTCTCGGTGATGCAGGTCTCCGCTAGCGCTCTGTGTCACCAGGATGGCAGGAAGAGGAGCGTTTTAATTCCTCTCTGTGCAGCCTAGCAGAGCGGAGGTGGGTCAGATAAACCCAATTAAACTAGTGCGGACAATGTAAACATCCCACAGTTCATTTAACGTCCCATGAATCCCCCGGGGGAGCCGGTCCCCTCCACGAGCCGGCCGCAGGACCGGGATCATCTGCAGTTCAGACAGGGACTCGGGCTGTCCCGCACGGTGACAGCCTGAGCTCACGGTACAGTCCTGTGCATGTGGTGCTGCCGTGTTTGTGCTGCTGATGCCGTACCCATAAAAGCAGGTTAAAGTGCCTTCCTGGCTGTGCTTCCTAAAGCAATATAGAGTCGATTCTGCCTTACTGTAGATAACAAAGACTGGGAATAACGTGGGAAAGTGAAAAGCTGCCAGGCTGTTTGATGGAGGCAATGGCTTGGGGAGCCCCCTACACTGCCATTCCACACAAAGTGCGCGGATGCTTAGGATCATCTTTGGGGATTAAGCTGATCTGGGCCAACGAAAGCGGGTGCGAGAGCGTGGATCAGCTCGGGGCGTCTCGGACGTGTTGTGTCCTTGGGCTTTTGCCGTGAAGCGGAGGCTCCGGACAGGCAGCACCGGGCAGCGCAGCCCGCGCCGGCCCCTCGCACACCTGGCCGCTCCTCCGAGGTCCCCTTTGACAGCAAATCCCGTCACCTGGAAGGGACACGGGCCCAGGAAAACGAAGGAGAAGCCCCGTAACAGCGAGGGGGTGCGGCCGTGCAGCGCTGCGGGGCCGGCGCGTGCGGGGGAGGC